AATTGGACAAGGAATTTGGAATAAATTATATATTTGAGTTCGTGGTGTTATGGATAAAGTTTGTCTTTGAATAATTTTGAAATCTGGACACGTGGGCCCGAGGGTTGACTTTATTAACTTTTCGAGTGGAGTTGGGAATTGTTGTACATTAATTAATTATGATGTTGGGATATATTTAAATTGGTTTTCACGATTGTTTGACTAGTTCGGATCGATGGCCATTTGGTTTGAGGTGTTAAAGAGGCGTTGGAGCCGGTTATGGAACTTCAGAGAGAGGTAAGTCTCCTGTCTAACCTTGTGAGGGGGAATTTACTCCATAGGTGTTATATTCTTATGTGCTTCATGTTGTGGGAGCTACGCACATATGAGGTAACGAGTGTCCGTTTGTATGCTAGGATTCCTGATTTGTCCGGGTAGACTTAGGTTTACGCCTTACTTTAATTATACTATTTGAGTTATCATTGCCGGTTTAATTATTTTATTTTGCGTTACGAGTTGAGACTAGGGTTGCGTAGAGTGATAGACTCGCTATTGTAAGAGATTTGACGACATACTTGATTAGTCGCAGAACAATTATGTTTCCCTTACGAATTCCTCTCGCGATGTACGTTTTCATTGAAAAGCTTCTTTAAATTTCATAACTCACACGTATCTTCGTGAGTGGGGTCAAGGACCGGTTAAAGTATCACATTCTCATGGGAGCGGGTTGTTCGCCTCGGCATTATAATAGATGCATCTATGGTCATGTTGTTCGACCCTCGGTAGTGCACACATTATTATGGGATCAGGACGTACGCCTCGGTATTTCTATAACTACTATTATGGGATCGGGTCATTCTCCTCGACAGCGTCGTGCGCAGTATTTGGCAAAAATCCATCGTATTCGTGAGTTTTCGTGATTTGAGTTATGACGATCTATCTGGTGGGGACCATTTTCCACATATACTCTAGTTGATGAGGTAACCGATAACTGAGGGCTTGCGTTTACTGTTCAGAAAAGGATCGTACTACGTGCTTAACTTTGTTTACACTGTGTTTACCATGCCTCATAATTGTTTACTTTTGGTTGTACTTGATTTATTGGACCACTAGTACGTGTCGATGTCGACCCCTCATCACTACTTCTCTGGGGTTAGGCTAGATACTTACTGGTATGCGTTGATTTACGTACTCATGCTACACTTGATATATATTCCTGGTGGTCTTTCGGGCGCAGAGGCGCGGCTATTGCGGGGACTTTATGGTGAGCTGCATTGCATATTATGATTCGCAACATATAGAGTCTCCATTAGAGTTATTTACATTCTCCTGTCTAACTTGTATTCCAGACAGCTGTTGTATTTTATTATATTTCTCGGTATATGGTCATGCACTTGTGACACTGGATTTGGGAATTCGTACTAGATGTTCATTATTGTAGTTCACATAATTATTATTATTTTACCTTGTAATTTATACTTTATACGGAAATCTATAAAGAGAATTTGTGGGCTCATATGAGTACCCGATGTTTATTTTATTTATCAAATAAGATTTATGATTTTAGAATTTTTAAAATGAGTAATTAAGTCAATAATTCACCGTTGGCTTGCCTGACCGCGACGTTGGGTGCCATCACAGCATTTAGGATTTTGGGTCGTGACATGGATAATATAATAAAGAAAAATATAGAACAAAAAAGTTATTCGATGCCTATATAAGTCTCTTTAATTTAATAGAAATATTATTCATTAAAATTCAGATAATATTGTTGAGAACAATAGGATAAAATTTAAAATTTTAAAAATATTTTAAGAGTAATAAAATATATATCTTCTATTAAACTATAAAAATAAAGTAGTAGACAAAAATATTAAACAAATGATTATGCTAATAAAAAATTTTATTAACAATGCAATAATACTAAATATTAGATAATATAATAAAAAAAATACAGAACAAAAAAGTTATTCAATGACTACACAACTCTCTTTAATTTAATAGACATTTTATTCATTAAAATTGAGATAATATCATTGAGAACAATAGGATAAATTTTAAAATAAAAGAATATTTCAAGACTAATAAAATATATATCTTCTATTATATTACAAAAAGAAAACGAGCAGACAAATATATTAAGCAAAGTAATTTGCTAATAAATATTTCTATTAGAAATGTAAACATACTAAACATTGGATAATAGAATAAAGAAAAATATAGAACAAAGAAGTTATTCAATGACTATATAAGTCCCTTTAAATTTTAATTTATTTTTAAATTTTGAATATTTTAAATTGTGTATGTTATTCGATGATGACATAGTTCTGATTGATGAGACGCGAGAAGGTGTTAACGAGAAGCTGGAGGTTTGGAGACAAGCCCTTGAGTCTAAGGGTTTAAAGTTAAGCAGGACAAAGACAGAGTACTTGGAGTGCAAGTTCAGCGCTGAATCGAGGGAAGCGGGCATGGACGTCAGGCTTGGATCACAGGTTATCCCTAAGAGAGGCAGTTTCAAGTACCTGGGGTCGATTATCTAGGAGAACGGGGAGATCGATGAGGACGTCATACACCGTATAGGGGTGAGTTGGATGAAATTAAGGTTAGCATCTGGAGTCCTGTGTGACAAAAAAGTACCATTGATACTCAAAGGTATGTTTTATAGAGCGGTGATTAGACCAGCCATGTTGTATGGGGTAGAGTGTTGGCTAATTAAGAACTCAAATATACAGAAGATGAAAGTAGCAGACAGATGAGGATGTTGAGGTGGATGTGTGGGCACACAAGGATGGATAATATTAGGAATGAAGATATTCGGGAGAAGGTGGGCGTGGCTCCTATAGATGACAAGATGCAAGCGGCGAGACTTAGATGGTTTGGGCATGTGCGGAGGAGGAGACCGGATTCCCTGGTAAGAAGGTGTGAGCGGTTGGCTTTGGAGGGAATGAGAAGAGGTAGAGGGCGGCCTAAGAAGTATTTGGGAGAGGTGATCAAACAGGACATGGCGAGACTTCAGATTTCCAAGGACATGGCCTTTGATAGGAAGGTGTGGAGATCGAGCATTAGGGTTGTAGGTTAGGAGGTAGTTGAGCATTTTTTCTACTTCACTCTGGGAGTGAGGATAGACTGATAGGGTTGTCTTAGATTTCTAGTTATTTTTGTTGTGTTCTCAATATTCTCCCGTTTTTCTTTACTGATTATTGTATTGCGTTTCAACTAGTTTTTGGTTTCTTATAATGCTTTATTATTACTATGGTTTTTGTTGATGGTATTAATATATTGTCTCTTTTGTCTTTTTCGTTTTCTTAAGTCGTGGGTCTATTAGAAACAACATCTCTACTCCATGGAGGTAGGAGTAATGTTTGCGTACACACTACCCTCCCCAGACCTCTTACTTTTGGGTTTTAACTAGATTGTTGTTGTTGTTGTTGTTGTTGTTGTTGTTGTTTGAATTTTTTAAATTATTTTTAAAATAAATATTTAAATAAAAAAAACTGCCAATACAAAATTTCTTTGTTTATTTAATAATTTTTGTTTTTATTTTTTGAAATAAAAAGTGTATTTATTCAGAAAATATTATTGAGAATAATAGAATAAAATTAAACTATTTTATAATAAAAAACAAAAACAAAAAAACAAAAAAAAAAAAGCAGTCCATTCAAATTGAAGAGTAGTTTCAACTTAAAGTTTTTAAATTATTTTCAAATAAAAAACTAAAATTATAAATAAATAAATAAACTACCAATTCAAAATTTCTTTGTTTTTTTTTAATATTTTTTTTATTTTAAAAATAAAAAGTTTATTTATTCAAAAAGTATTATTGAGAATAATATAATAAAATATAAAATATAAAATATATATTTTCTATTATATTATACAAAGAAAGTAGCATACAAAAATTTAAATAAAGTAATATGATAATAAAAGTTTCTATTAACAATGCAATAATACTAAATATTGGAAAATATAATAAAGACAAATACAGAAATAAAAAAGTTATTCGATGCCTATATAAGTCTCTTTAATTTAATAGAGATATTATTCATTAAAATTCAGATAATATTATTGAGAACAATAGGATAAAATATAAATAAAAAAATATTTGAAGAGTAATAAAATATATATCTTCTACTATACTATAAAAAGAAAGTAGTAGACAAAAATATTAAACAAAGTAATATGCTAATAAAAGTTTCTATTTGCAATAATACTAAATATTGAATAATATAATAAGAAAAAATACATAACAAAAAAGTTATTCAATGACTATACAACTCTCTTTAATTTAATAGAGATCTTATTAATTAAAATTAAGAGAATACTATTGAGAACAATATGATAAAATTTAAAATAAAACTACTATTTCAAGACTAATAAAATATATATCTTCTATTATATTACAAAAAGAAAGTAGTTGACAAAAATATTAAATCAAGTAATATGCTAATAAAAGTTTATATTAACAATATAAAAATACTAAATATTGGATAAGTATAATAAATAAATATAAAACAAAAAGGTTATTCAATGACTATACAAGTCTCTTTAATTTAATAGAGATTTTATTCATTAATTCATACAATATTATTGAGAACATTAGAATAAAATTTAAAATAAAAAAAATATTTAAAGAGTAATAAAATATATATATCTTCTATTATATTACAAAAAAAGTAGTAGACAAAAATATTAAACAAAGTAATATGCTAATAAATATTTCGCAATTATATTAAATATTGGATAATATAATAAAAAAAATACATAACAAAAAAATTATTCGATGATTATATAAGTCCCTTTAATTTAATATAGATTTTATTCATTAAAATTCAAATACTATCATTGACAACAACAGAAAAAAATTTAAAATAAAAAATATTTCAAGATTAATAAAATATATATCTTCTCTTATATTACAAAAATAAAGCGAGCAGACAAAGATATTAAACAAAGTAATTTGCTAATTTCTAATAACAATGTAAACATACTAAACATTGGATAATAGAATAAAGAAAAATATATGACAAAAAAATTATTCAATGACTATATTAAGTCCCTTTAATTTAATCGAGATTTTATTATTAGGTATATCATATTGACAAATAAGATGACAATTGAAATTTATTAAAGTAATATGATCTAATATGTTCAAACAAGCTCAATCACAATTTAATTTAATTAATATTGACCGCGCATCGCGCGAGTACGACTACTAGTTCAATTTAGAAAGCTGGAGCCATTGCCGGAGTAATCATGAAATTGGCGGAGTTGACTTCCGATTCCGGTGATGGTGCGAGTATTCCCGAGCTTTTGATCTCCGCCATTCCACGGCGTGCATTTCCACCTTGTTCTTCACACAATCTGGGAAGGTATACACCTGCCAAATCAAGCACATGCACATGATTAAGAGATGGCAAATTTTTTTTTCATTTCGAATTTTATGAATCATCTCATCTAAAAGTTTAAACTGCTAGAAAAGAAATATATATTTATTCATTTTAGTTTATTTAAGCTAAAAAATATTATTGGGTCTGACCTACACATAAGAGGTATTACTTAGCCAATTGATCCGCATTAGCTTGTCTTCTTCTAATTAAATACTACTTATAACATATGAATACACCATTAAGGTGTTAGAAAAGACATGTTATTTTTCTACTAAGATATGACGGCTAGAGTTTGTAACGAGAGAAAATTTTCTGCATCTTAGAGAGTATCTTTAATTAAGCTTTGGAAACAAGGCAATTCATCCCGCTTAAACCGTGGTTGCTTCAGATCCGCTTTCGCAAGGAGAAAATCGTAACCTCGTAAACTAGTATTTACAATTAAATACTTCAAGTTTTAAGAAGTACCTTCTCCAGCAGCAAGGTTGAAGTAGAGATCAATAATATTAGGGCAATGTTTGTAGCACTGAGGGGAGCACAGCTTCTGGGTAAAGTGGCACTCGAGGAGAGAATCAGAAGAAATTCCGAAAGTATTCCTATCAACACCGCAAGCCTGAATACACTGGTCGGTTTCAATCCAGTCTTTGAGCTTATCAGCCTCAATTTCCGACGTCTTACATGTATATACTTCTTCACCACTCCTTTGGAGACGTTTCTCTAACACGCAACGCTTCCCAGTACTTGAAATCGCAAAAGCGCATGAGTCCTTGTTTAGATTCTCGCATGTTATGCTCCCTGCATATTATCACACAATATTTAATCGTAATGTAACTTAAAAGATGTTAGACAGAGCACACTTTGTAATAAAATACTCAAGTTTAGTATTTCAAAAGATTAGAAAAATATTGATTACTATGTAAATAGGCGGAGCAAGGATTTAAACTTTATGAGTTCTATTTTTAAGATAATGACATCAGGGGTTAGTAACTGAGTTTAATTTTTGTATATATTTAGTAAATTTTTTAATACAAACATGATTTGAATTAGAGCTACCGGTGGCCAGGTTCGACCGAACTCGTGTGTAACCTTCTAGCTCCGGTTATGATTATGTAGATAGTATAAAAAAGTTATGAAAAAAACGATTTTCTTTGCAAGGACAACTGACCTAGAGTGACTTGAACACAGAAGACAAGTGCACAAGCAACAATAGCCAAAGTAAAGTTGTGGAATGAAGCAACCATGGTGAAAAATCTAGCAACAATTGATCAGACTATAAATTTTTTCTGAGTATATATAGCTCCTTTTGGCTTTCGACTCTCCTTTTTTGTGGTTTTCCAAGAACTACTCGATGCAAAAATATACAAATGGGAAGCCCTATTTATACTGTTAAGTTTTAACCAAAGTGAAGCTACACACTCCCAACACTTTGGGAATTTTGTGAAGACACATGGTGGGACCCAAGGATTAAGGAAGACTTGGAATTTATGAAGTTTATTGACCCCATTGGCTAGGGAGGAAAAGGAAGAAAGTTCCAGGAGTGAATTGCAAGGCATATGACTTCGTCAACAATGGCGGACTTTGGTATCATTGCCACATGGCACATGCTTTTAGGAAAAACTAAGGCATTGTTGCCCATAAAAAAAACTTCTTTTTTTGTTTTTTGTAAAATAAAAAAATTTGGAAGTTTTTAGAAATTTTTAGACAATAAGTTTTTTAAAAACCAAAAAGTGATTTTGACCATTTTTTCTCAATTTTCAGAAAAACGGTTTTTTCTGTTCACAAAACTACAATATTTTTTCAAGTGAAATGCATCTCCAAACATAATTTTAAATTTCAAATATTATTTTTTAACTTAACTTTAAATACCTTTTTTTTTCAAAAACTACAAATTTTATGTCCAAACGCCTACTAAGTTTAACGGACTCACAATTTTCCTTTTTATTTTTCATAAATAAAAAACGATTAATTGTTTAGGGCCCTCTTGCTCCTCCTTTGGCTGCTTGCATTTTGATTGCATAAATGAAAGTTTAGGAGACGACGTCTTCGATCAATGGTGCACAGTTCACATCGTAGTTTTTGCGTTGAACTCACGTTATGGTTATAGTGACAATTCGACTCTTTTTCTACAACACCCCCCTCTTAAACACGTTCTCTCTATTTTCCCGTTAAAATGTTTTAGAGATGTGTCAGTGTTGGTGACATGCATGGAGTAGTTTTCATGAGTAAATTATCAAAGATTTAAGTTATATGCATTGGCCGGGTAAGAAAATCTTTAATTTATCATAACAGGATGTGACTTACCATTTACTCTAGATTATTAGTCAAAGTAGTAAATTGTAGAATTGATGATATAACTATAGTTTAGGTCAGTATATAAAACTTAAACCTAATTATTAAACCTTAAAAAATGTACGAAATGGTTTATGATCATCTTTTGACAAAACATCTATTCTATTTCTAGCTTACGAACTCAATAGACAAGAATGGACTTAACTAATACAAAATCGTCCAATTTATGTATTCTAACATGTACAACTTTTATCATCATTAAGTTAAATTGACATGTACTAAGAAGTAGTAACTGGTTAAAGTACTAATATTTATCGTAACATTAAATGTACATTGCTAATGTAAAAAGTTCTTACGCTATTTAAAATCCATATAAAAATAAATATTTGACCTTTATAAACAAAAAAAGCTTAGATTCTTTTTTTTAACGACTTGACGGAAGAATTCTTTTGGCCGGAAAGAACAACACATATTATTGAATTAAAAAAATAAGATGGTTCAGTACATGCCGGAACTAATTCCGAAATACTATCAATTCCCAAATAATTTTGGGATTGTTACAGAAATACATAAAGTAAGAAAGCATAACTAGGAGGTAATCTCAATGCCCAGCACAATGTTTAATGAAATACTAATTAACGTGACTATAAGCAGGGGCAGATGTAGCTTTTTGGCTACGGGTTTTACTGAACCCATAATTTTCGGCACGAAGTATTAATTTATATGTAAAAATCTACTAAATCTTAACAAATATTATATTGGAACCCATAATTTTAACACTCTAATAAATTTAATATTGAAAATTTTAAATATTATACCCATTTAAATCAAGGATCCACCCTCTGACCATAGGTAGCTTTTACTCTCTAGTCAAGTGGTAAGACAATTCACAACGGGATCGATATATTCATGGGTTAGGAATATTGGTGAAGTTACTGTCTGATATCGTATATTCGTATTCCATAACAAACAGACTTCTTCAGTGACCCATAATTTACGGGGCATATTAAAGTCTATAGTCAATTGGGACTTTGTTGTCAATGGTTAGGCGCAGACGAGAGACCACATAGTGTCACTACTCGTAAAAATGAGGCTCGTAGGACTTCTAAAAATCTAATATTGCTGCTATTTTTGAAAGTAGGATTGTAATCTGAATTTCCTTTGGAAATCCATAGCTATTTGGTAAAACTAAAGGACCAAATATACCACCCCGTTCATCATCTTTTTATTGATACTTTTATCCATCAAAATTTAGGTGGATAAAAGAAAATTATTTAAAATAAAGTATTCAAGTCGCAATAATTCATTGACTAAAAATTCCTTCTGTTAGATCTATGTTGATTTTAATGATGCAAAATAATGAATTACTCTTTATGTGCAGAAACAGTCCTTGAGCAATGGAAAAGAGGCATAGAGCCCGTTTGGATTAGCTTATTTTAAGTGTTTTTAAGCCAAAATAGCTTTTAAGCCATTTTGTACTGTTTGAATAAAGTAAAAAAGCACTTATTTTTAAGTTAAAATAAAAAAATAAGCCAAAAGCTAGAAATCCTAACTTATGGCTTAAAAGCTATTTGGCTTAAATGTTACTTAAAATAAACCCATCCAAACGGGCTCATAGAAGAATCAAGACGAAAAAGGAAGGATTAGAGGAAAATCAAAGGCAAAATCAATCAAGAATTTGGTATGAGATCAAGGAGGATATTATAGGAAGGACCTCAATAAAAGGAAATCAATGGCAGGAAATTAAGCACTGAAGATCCTTCTATATAAGGACGTCAATCGAAGCAGCAATCAAGGGATGTGATAACGGGAATATCCAGTCAACAAAGGAAGAAATAAATCAAGACCACAAGTCAAGGCAAATCAATAGAAGAAATATTCTATACTTAGAAAGAATCAATCTACGATTCCTCTCTGAGATCAACTCCCTTGGGTTTGCAATCTCTCAAAATTCACAAGACATGAAGGCCTCACGAGGTATAAATACCCACTGCACCAGCCTTGAAGAGATATACTTTGAATGAACCACTATCACTATTTTTGTTCTACTCTAAACAAGCATTGTAGTTCACTTTAGATCAGTTGTACTGTAATTAGTGAGAGAAGAAAAAGAGAAAAACACTGGTGAGACATTGTATCAAAAAGCGAGAAGTGACATAATGACTAAGTTGTTGGTGTAAAGCTACATCAACTCTCTTGTAATCGAGAAACTTTAAATACTGAAAGAGAACATCCTTGCAACCCAAGGGGACTGGACGTAGGATTCACATTGAATCCGAACCAGTATAAAAATCTTGGTGCCTTTAATTCCTATATTTTATTTCTGCTTTACTTATATTCTATTCTTACCTTCAGTCGACTAATTAGTAAACTAGTCAACTACTTAGGGTACAAAAAGAAAAATCGATAATTCACCCCCTCCCTCCCCCTCTTATACCTTAAATTGGTATCAGATCAGGCCTTACACTTTTATCTTTTGCTTAACAGCTAGTGAGAAAAGATCATGTCAAACTAAGTAATTATTGGAGCACTTTTTCAAGAAGGGACATCGCAAGTAAGGCCACTATATTTCAATGGACAATGCTTCTCGCAATGGAAAGTNACCACCATATTTTAATGGACAACACTTCTCCCACTAGAAAGTGCGCATGAAAATTTATACAAAGTCCTATGATGTCAAAGTATGGCGTGTTATCAAAAAGAAAAATTATCCACTGCTAACAGCAGCTCAACCACCCGCTGATCCTGAAGATATAGATGAATATATAGACAAGCAAATGGTTGTCTTTCAAGTTAATGCTAAGGCACGAAACCTACTTTATAATGCTATGAGAAAATTTCAAGTTGTGATACCGCCAAAACAATGTGGAACAAACTGGAAGTTACCTATGAAGGAACCAACAAAGTGAAAACAAATCGCATAAACCTGTTGGTTCATGATTATGAACTCTTTCAGATGAAAGAAGGTGAATCCATTGAGGAGATGTTTACAAGATTTAGCAAAATCATTGGTGATCTGAAAGCCTTTGGTAAACCTTACTCAAGTGGTGATCAAGTTCGAAAAATCCTGAGAAGCTTGCCTACTACATGCCAGACAAAAGTAGTTGTACTTGAATCTCAATATCTAGACAAACTTTCATATGATGAATTACGAGGAGATATTATAGCATTTGAGAAGACTCATCTCAAGAAAACACGTCAGGAAGAAAAGAAGAAAATGGTTGCTTTCAAAACTACTACTGAAGGACCTGAAAATGATATTGATGATCCAGAAGATCTTGAAGAAGAAATTGCCATGGTATCAAGAAATATGAATGGATTGATGAAAAGATACAGAAATACAAAAAAGGGAAGGATGTCATCTAGACGAACCAGGCAATACAATGAACAAGACAAGAATGACGGAAAGTGTTTTAAGTGTGGAAGATATGACCATGTTCAAGCTGAATGCCCAGACCTCAAAAGAAATATCTTCAGAGGGTTCAATAAAAATAAATCTTTCGGAAGATGGGGTGATGAAGATAGCTCAGAACATGAAGAAATAGCGAGTATGTGCTTCATGACCATTTTGGAAAATGATATGACCAAATATTCTGGTTGTTGAAGTGATGAAGATGCATCAGACAATGAATGTAAAGAAGACACTGAGAACTATTTCATGGCACGAGGTGAAGTAAGCGAGGTAAGACCTTATAACTGTGATAAATGTAATGAATTACGGGATATTCTTGACCTTACCCTAAAGGAGTCTCAAAAAATGTTGAATGAATTAAAGAGATTCAATAGGGAAAAGAAGGACAAGGAACTTAAACTTGAAGTCTGTGAAATGGAAAGAGATGTGCTTCAAGATAAGGTTCGGGAATTGCAAATGCAATTAAATGGCATGCACAAATTCACTGGTCACAGTTCTGTCAAGTCTAACCATGCGACGTACAAGCCAACTGGAAAAGGACCAGTCGGAACTGAGTCCACAAGTACTAACACAAGTGGTAGATTGAAAACTAAATCAACCTCTGTGTGTCATTACTGTAACAAAGTTGGACATAAATATTCCTTTTGTAGATTT